CACCGCGCCCGGCAACTTTTTTTTTTTTTTTTTTGAGACGGAGTTTTGCTCTGTCATCCAGGCTGGAGTACAGTGGTGTGATCTTGGCTCACTGCAACCTCTGCATCCCGGGTTCAAGTGATTCTCCTGCCTCAGCCTCCTGAGTAGCTGGGACTACAAGCGTGAGTCACCATGCTTGGCTCATTTTTGTAGTTTTAGCAGAGATGGGGTTTCACCATGTTGGTCAGGCTGGTCTTGAACTCCTGACCTCAGGTGATCCACTCACCTTGGCCTCCCAAAGTGCTGGAATTACAGGTGTGAGCCACCACGCCCGGCCTCAGTAGGCTCTTTATAGCCATACCCCACACCCAGAACTGGGCCAAGTGGAGCCACACTCACATTACACACCTTACAGTACATATGCTGGCCTCATGCTACGATCCTCTGGCTTTCAGGTTCTTCACACTTGAACAGCAAAATCCCCTCCAAACGTAAGAAACACAATTGCACTAAGATCATTGTTTTCTAAGGTGCCAGCACTCAGAGCTTCAGACATATCTACTGTGGTGAGAAATGACATCTGACACGTAATACACTTCGTGAGATGAAACTTCACATTCAGGCTGTGTGCCTTCTTCTCATCTACGAAATGGAGAGAGGGATACTATGCCTCTCATAGGGCAACTGGGCTACAGTGAACATAAATTAAGATAATCCAGTATATGCTTATAAAGTAAGCCCTCCATATGTAAATCATCTATTTTTTTTAATACTTGTCTTTTGGCAAGTATTTTAAGTACCCGGTAATACAATTCTATACGGATTCCAGGGAGCCCATCAGTAAGTAAAACAGCTTTTTGATGAGTTAGTTCCCTAACTAGCAAGTGAAGGAGAAGTAACTGGGACTGACTTGAAAGGGGTTTACCAGCAATCATGACCCCGGGCCAGAGAGGGTAGTGCAGTTTCTCTTGGAAACACTCAGGGTGGCCTCCTACTATAAACTGGATACTGCACTAGATCAAACTCTTCACTGCCACAGTATGCCAGTTTACAAGTCACAATGCTAATAGCACGCAAGTAGGATAAATGTGGTGGCTCCTCCTCGCTTCCCCCGTGCTTCTCAAAATAAACCTTCCCACTAGCAATTATCTTTAGCTTCATACTACAGACCTTGCAACTTAATACTGCCAGAACACAAAGTAAAAATACACTTGCCCCTTAATTAAAGTCTGTGTTTCTGCCACTAAGAGAATCATGACTTAACACAGATTAATATATCCAAGGAGACAAAGGACGTATTTTTTGTTTTGCTTTTTCTTCCATTCCTCTTCTTGCTCAGCACTCTTGGTTTGGCATAATCTGTGTTCTCTTCACCTTTCGAAAACTTCTCCCTTTATGACTTCTCAGCAACCAGTTCCTGGTGTTACCAAAGTGTTTACTTAGTTCTTCCTGGCAATATGATAATGAATCTCCAGAACTGAAAGCTTTGAAAGGCCAGGAATTATATTTTACTTTTCCCTCTGGATCTCTACAACAGCTTATACTGTGCTAAGCACACCACTAAACATTTAAATACAGATGTGGGTTACAACCACATCAACACACACGAAAAGAGGTGTAAACTGTAATTTCAATAGGAAGACAAACTTTCATTTAGGAATATTTCACTTTGGCTCAACCAGGTAAACAAACACATTCAATAAGGTAAACAGGCACTTAATCAGCCTGCCGTAATTTCTGGAACAAATGAGTAATTACATGTAGCAGAGGCATACCTCATTTTACTGTGCTTCCCACAGATTGTGTTTCCTACAGAACTGAAGGTCTGTGGCAACCCTGTGTCAAGCAGGTGCACTGGCAAAGGTTTTCAACACATGCGCTCACTTTGTAGTTCTGTGTCACATGTTGGTAATTCTTGCAATATTTCAGATTTTTAAAATTATTATTATACCTGTTACTATGATCTGTGATCAGTGATCTCTGATGTTAACTCTTGTCATTATTTTGGGGTGCCACCAACCGTGCCCATAAAAGATGGTAGATTTAATCAACAAATGTTGTGTGTGTTCTGACTGCTCTTCCAATCTTGGGCCTCCCTGTCCTCTGAGACACAACAATATTGAAATTAGGCCAGTTAATAACCTGACAAAGGCCTTTAAATATTCAAGTGAATGGGAAAGTCCCACGTTTCTCACTGTAAATGAAAAGCTAGAAAGCATTAAGCTTAGTGGGGAAGGCATGTCGTAAGCGCAGACAAGCTAAAAGGCCTCTTGCATGGAACAGTCAGCCAAGTTATGAGTGCATAGGAAAAGTTCTTGAAGGAAATTAAAAGTGCTACTCCAGAGAATTCACAAATGGTGGGAAAGACAAACAGCCTTACTGCTGATATGGAGAAGTTTTAGCAGTCTGGGTAGATGATCAAATCGGTCACAACGTTTCCTGAAGCCCAAACCTAACTGAGAGCAAGGCTCTAACTCTGTTCCGTTTTAGGAAGGCTGACCGAAGTGAGGACATTGCGGAAGAAGTAGGAAGCTACAAGAGGCTGGTTCACGAGGCTTAAGGAACAATGTTTCCATAACATAAAAGTGCAAAGTGAATCAGCGAGTGCTGAAGTAGAAGCTATAGCAAATCATCCAGAAGACTTAGCTAAGATCACTGATGAAGGTGGCTATGCCAAACCACAGACTTTCAATGTAGACAAAACAGCCTTCTAGTAAAAAATGGCAGCATCTAGGACTCTGATAGCTGGAGAAGTCAATACAAAAGGCTTTGAAGGCTTGCTTCAAAGCTTCAGAGAACAGAAAAACTGACTCTCTTGTTAGGGGATAATGCAACTGGTGACTAAGTTGAAAGCAATACTCATTTACCATTCTGAAAATTCTAGAGCCCTCAAGAATTGCGACAACTTGACTCTGTTTGTGTTCTATATACGGAACACCAAAGCCTGGTGACAGCGCATGTGTTGACAGCATGGTTTATTGGATATTTTCAGCCCACTATCGAGACTTACTGCTCCAGAAAAAAAGATTCCTTTCCTTTACTGCTCATGGACAACGCACCTAGTCATCTAAGAGCTCTGATGGGTGTGTAAAAAGAGATTAATACTGATTTCATGCCTGCTAACACAACATCCATTCTGCAGTCCATGGATCGAGGAGTAATTTCAACTTTCACGTTCATTATATAAGAAATACATTTTTGTGAGGTAGTTACTGCCTTAGTGATTCCTCTGATGAATCTAGGTAAAATAAATTAAAAGCCTCCAAAAAGGACTCATCCTTCTAGATGCCACTAAGAACATTTGTGATTCATGGGAGGAGAATAAAATAACAATATAAACAGGAGTTTGGAAGACACTGATTTCATCCTTCGTGGATAACTTTGAGGGGTTCAAGACTTCAACGGAGGAAGTAACTGCAGATGTGATGGAAACAGGAAAACAACTAGAGTTACAAATGGAGCCTGAAGATGTGATGGTACTGCTGCAGTCTCATCATCAAACTTGAACAGATGAGGAATTGTTTCTTATGGATGAGCAAAGAAAGTGGTTTCAAGATCGAATGCATTCCTGCTGAAGATGCTGTGAACACTGTTGAAATGACAAGAAAGCACTTCGGATATTACATACATGCAGTTGACAAAGCAGAGTTTGAGAGGGTTGACTCCAATTTTGAGAGAAGTTCCACTGCGAGAGCTACTTTCTTAACCTTCAGAAATCACCACTCTGATGAGTCCACAGTCATCAACACTGCGGCAAAACCCATCACGAGCAAAAAGACAGTAACTCGCTGAAGGCTCATTTTCAGCAATAAAGTATTTTAAATAAGGTATGCGTTTTTTTTTTTAATACATAATGCTACTGTATACTTACTGGACTATAATTTATTATAAATATAACTTTTATATATACTGGGAAACCAAAAAATTCATGTAACTTACTTTATGGTGATATCTGCTATTTTGCAGAAGTCTGGAACGTAACCTGCACTATCTCTGAGGTATGCCTGTAAAAACCAAGACACTTTAAATAAAGGTAGCCCCATCATGGATTATATTTCTAAAGGTATGCTGAAGCTTGAGACTGAAATTACAGCGCAATTTCTTTATCTCTTGTCCCTCCCTCCCTCCTTCTTTCTTTCTTTCTGGCACAATCTGGCTCACTTCAACCTTCACCTCCTGGATTCAAGCCATTCTCCTGCCTCAGTCTCCAGAGTAGCTGGGATTACAGGTGCCTGCCACCACACCCAGCTCATTTCTGTACATTAGTAGAGACAAGGTTTCACCATATTGCCCAGGCTGATTTCCATTTTCTGACCTCAGGTGACCCCCGCCCCCCGCCCCCGCCCCAGCTTGGACTCCCAAAGTGTTGGGATTACACGTGTGAATCACTGCTCCCAGCCCACAGTGCATTTTCTTATGAAAGTAATTTACAAGTGATGGGAGGAGTCTCAGGTTTACCAAGGGAAAAAGAAGCATTTAGCTCAAATTGGGGCTGATGAAAGAAGGGCAGCCATGGGCAGCTCCGTGCTCTGAGCGGGGTGAGTCTGAGCGGAAGGGCAGGTTCCGTGGGAATGTATGCGCACACATGGAGCGGGAGCAGTTGAGGAACTCTGGTAGCAGCCGGCATGGAAAAAGTTTCTGTTTTAATATAAGGTCATTTATAATGGAAGGGCTGATGTATTAAGGCTACTTAAAATACAGGTATTAACCATTTTACAGGCAGGAACTGGAGAATGGCTAGCCAGATCAACAAAACAGTGTTTCTATCTGGTGCTATTCCATGGAGTTCTCATCTTACAAAGTGATAATCATCTCAATGTTTTTCTCTCTGAACTTAAAATATATTAAAAAAAATAAACGAATGAAAACAGACTTAATTTTAAAAAGCAGCTCTCTGCATGGATACATTTTTAAAAGACCAGCTAAGTTTCATTTTTATTGCCCTATGTCATCAAATTCATCATTACATTCTACCTAGTTTTGAATATATACACTACTAGCCTAACAAAATCACTCGGTACGTGCTTGCCTCAGCAACATACATACTAAAATCGGAACGATACAGAGAAGATTAGCACGACCCCTGCGCAAGGATGAAGTCACTCAGTATGTGAGGGTTTATACAATATGTTGACACTTGGATTTAGATGCATTTATGTCCACACTGAGAGTTACCAAACAGAAAGCCCTCTCCAATTACAGCTCTGTTACGAAGTACATAAAAGTTCAAAATGCTAAACTTTACCCTGCTCCAGGCTTTCAGCTCATTTAAGTGACATGATATAGGAAAAAAAAACTTTCGAAAAAAGATAAACTATCCCATTCCCTTTAAACGTTTTAAAAATAGCTTGATATAATTCATATGTCATACAATTTATCCACTCAAACTACACAATTAACATTTTTCATATTCACAGGATTGTAAAACCATGACCACAATCTAATTTTAGAACATTTTCCTTCCCCGAAACAAACCGTGTACCTGTTAGCCACCCCCATTTTCCTTCATTTCACGAACCCTCCTCCTAGCTCTGAAACAACCACATCTGCTTGCTAACTCTACAGAGTTGCCTATTCTGGACACTTCATATAAAGAGATTCATATAATATGTGACTTTTTTCGTGACCGGCTTCTTTCACTTCTTGGTTTCAAGGGTCAACCATATGGTAACATCTAAGGATTTATTTCTTTTCTTTCTTTCTTTCTTTTTTTTTTTTTTTGAGATAGTCTCACTCTGCTGCCCAGGCTGGATTGTAAAAGTGCAGTCACGGCTCCCTGCAGCCTTGACCTCCTAGGCTCAAGTGATCCTCCCACCTCAGACTCTTGAGTAGCTGGATGACAAGTACATGCCACCAGGCCGGGCTAATTTTTAAATTTTTTTCTAGAGACGGGGTTTCACTATGTTGCCCAGGCTCGCTGGTCTTGAACTCCTGGGCTCAAGTGATCCTCCTGCCTTGGCCTCCCAAAGTGCTGGTATTACAGGTATCAGCAACCATGCCTACCATGCCTAGTCTTATTACAATTAAATAATAAAACATAGGAATTTAGAATTTATTAAATATTTCATGCAAAACTATTTCAGATGTTCTGAATTATATTAACTTGACTGAGGTGGTAAAGCACATTTCACCCATACTTCCTGGCTTTTTCACACAAGCATTCTAATGGCATAACTTCACTAGAGATGAGCTGGTACATGTAAGATCTTATTAGAAAAATTACAAAACAGACAAAAAATAGAAGAAAAGTGGGCTGGATGAGGTGGCTTACACCAGTAATTCCAGCACTTTGGGAGGCTGAGACAGGCATGATCACTTGAGGTCAGGAGTTTGAGACCAGCCTGGCCAACATAGGGAAACCTTATCTCTACTAATAATACACACACACACACACACACACACACACACACATATACACACACAAACTAGCTGGCTATGGTGGTGCATACCTGTAATCCCAGCTATTCAGGAGGCTAGGGCACGAGAATCACTTGAACCCAAGAGATGGAGGTTGCAGTGAGCCAAGATTGTGCCACTGCATTCCAGCCTAGGTGACAGAGTATCTCAAAAAAAAAAGGAAAAAAAAAGATGGGGGAAAAGTATAAACATTCCTTAAAAAAATTAAGAATCTCTTAAAACAAGCAGAAGGTGACTAACAATGATAATATTTTGAACAATCCGACTTTTTTTTTGTTTTGTTGTCATAAAATATACGTACAATTTATCATTTTAAACTTTTTAAATTTAATAGACAGGGTCTTGCTATGTTGCCCAGGCTGGAATCAAACCCCTAAACTTGAGAGAATTATGCACCTCAACTTCCCAAGTAGCTGGGACCACAGGTGCATGACACTGAGATTGGCCGATTTTTTTTTTTTTTTTTTGGACAGGGAGTATCGCTCTGTCACTCAGGCTAGGGTACAGTGGTGCCATCGTGGCTCACTGCAACCTCTGCCTCTGGGTTCAAGTGATTCTCCTGCCTCAGCCTCTCAAGTAGCTGAGCTTACAGGCACCCACCACCATGCCCAGCTAATTTTTGTATTTTAGTAGAGCTGGGGTTTCACCATGTTGGTCAGGCTGGTCTCAAACTCATGACCTCAAGTGACCTACCCGCCTTGGCCTCCCAAAGTGGTGGGATTACAGGTGTGAGCCAAAAGACCAAAACAAGCCTAACTGATTTTTAAACATTTTAAGGTATGCAAATTCATGACATTAAGTCCAGTTGATGCTGCACAACCGTCATCCACTATCCATCCCCAGAACAAAACTCTGTACCCATTAAACAGCTCTCCTTTCACTGCTCCCCAAGCCTTTCATAACCACAATTTGACTTTCTGTCTCTATCAATTTAACTACTACAAGTGAAATCACATAGTATTTGTTCTTTTGTATCTGGCTTATTTCACTTAGCATAACGCTTTCATCCCTGCTGTAGCGATATTATGTTTTTTATGTCTTTTTCTAGACAGCTGATAGCTCTACTCTCAATGCCAAAGCACACTGTATAGGTTTGTATTTGGACTTACCTCCCTGTCCTGCAATTAAACCACAGGTCCTCATATCCCACGGGCATATCCTGTTTATGTTCATTTCCCTATTCCCTTGCTCCATTCCTGGCCCCAGATACTTATTATAGTTGAACGTATAAATGACTGAACATATAAATGTTCCAGTTAATCAATACAGTTATTTTGGCGTAAGTACTACAAAAACTTCTAAGCAATGTACAAAAAGCCAGTGCCAGTGTTCTAGGAAATCCTATTTCTGGAGTCACCTCCAACACTTAGCAAGTCATGTAAGATAGACGAGGACTAGGAACATATTTCATCCATTACTTCATTAATGGCACTGTAACAGCTACTAAACGAATTACCAGTACCTATATTTACTCTAGCAATTTAATAATAAATTTTCATTAATAGCATCAGAAAGAGACTGAGGGAGTGCAAGAAGGGAAAATTTCCAATTCTCATGACCCAAATGACAAGGATTGGATGTTGTAAACAGATTTTAATTTACAATTGATCTATAACTTAATTATAACAGAAAATTCTCTTCTAAACTGCAAAGAGTACTTTCAGTATCTGTGCTAAAACAGGTTGAGATAAAACATCTGCTCTAATTAGCGTTCACAGAAATGTAAAAGGACTTCACATCCCTTTACCGTGACCACTGCTTCTCAATGTCTGAGTCAGTCATCAGGCGTCACATTATAAAAACGAAAATATACATCTTTTTTTTTTTTTTTGAGACGGAGTTTCACTCTTGTTACCCAGGCTGGAGTGCAATGGCGCGATCTCGGCTCACCGCAACCTCCGCCTCCTGGGCTCAGGCAATTCTCCTGCCTCAGCCTCCTAAGTAGCTGGGATTACAGGCACGTGCCACCACGCCCAGCTAGTTTTTTGTATTTTTAGTAGAGACGGGGTTTCACCATGTTGACCAGGATGGTCTCGATCTCTCGACCTCGTGATCCACCTGCCTCGGCCTCCCAAAGTGCTGGGATTACAGGCTTGAGTCACCGCGCCTGGCCAAAAATATATATCTTGATAGTGATGATAAAATGGTAAGAGTCATAATTACACACACACACACATTTATTTTCAACTAATATCTGTGTTTATTTTATTTTTTTATTTTTGAGACAGAGTCTTGCTCTGTCACCCAGGCTGGAGTGCAACATGGTGAAACCCCATCTTCATTAAAAATGCAAAAAGAATTAGGTGGGCATGGGGGTGCATGCCTGTAGTCCCAGCTACTTGGGAGGCTGGGGTGGGAGAATCACTTGAACCTGGGAGGCGGAGGTTGCAGTGAGCTGAGATCGTGACGCTGCAGTCCAGCTTGGTGACAGAGTGAGACTCTGTCTCAAAACAAAAATTAAAAAAAAAAAAAAAGCCAAACCAGTGGCTCCCTCAGTCTCTTTTCCCCCCTTAATTCCATATAAGTTCTGAAGTGGACAAAACGCGAACAGAGCTTCAGCCAGTGTACAACGGGTGCGTAACATGAGCAAGAAATAAATTTTTGTTGTTATAAGCCACTGAGATTTTGGAGGCGCTTTTAGTACACAGTATAACTTAGTTTATCCTTACTGACTGTGATTGTTAATTCTATGTGTCGACAGGCTCCTGAATGCACAGACGGCTGATAAAATATTATTTCTGGGTGTCTGTGAGGGTATTTCCAGAACAGATTAGCATTTCAATCAGCAGAGTAAAAGAAGTTCCATCCCCATCAATGGGTGGGCAGCATCCAATCCTTCCAGGGCTCAAATTAAACACAATGGCAGAGCAAGGGTGAATTCTCCCTCACTTCACACACACACACACACACACACACACACACACACACACACATACGTGCATGCACACACACACGTATACATCCCAGTATATTTCTTTGGAGAACTCTGACTAATCCACTGATGGAGTCTCATGTTACGGATAAAAAAACACCAAAGTTTAGAGACGTTTAAAATGGTATGTCTGGCTAGAGGCAGTGGCTCACACTGGTAATCCCAACACTCTGGGAGGCCAGGGTGGGAGAATAGCTCGAACCTAGGAGTTCAAGTCAAGCCTTGGCAACTAGTAGGACCCCAGGTCTACAAAAAAGTTAAAAAAAAAAAAAATAGCTGGGCCTGGTAGTGTGTGCCTGGAGCTCCAGCTATTTGGGATGCTGAGGTAGAAGGATCATGTGAGCCCAGGAAGTTAAGGCTACAGTGAGTCGTGACTATGCCACTACACTCTAGCTTGGGTGACAGAGTAATGCTCCGTCCCAAAAAATAAAATCACTGATGTGTCTACAGTCAAGTGCAGTAAGTAGAAGAACTGGATTTAGAACCTAAGCTTGTCATAGCACAGTGTCCTTAACCAATTTGCAATAAATCTTAGAATGGAAGTGTCTATCAACTGTGAAGGTAAAACAGAGGAGGAAGAAGTTAACTGTTATATGAGCAACAGAAGGCTTTATCCCAAGTAGAGTTCATTTTGAATGATAAAAATGCTTCCTAGCCAGACACGGTGGCTCACGCCTACAATCCCAGCACTCCGGGAGGTTGAGGTGGGTGGACCACTTGAAGTCAGGAATTCAAGACCGGCCTGGCCCACATGGTAAAACCTCATCTCTACTAAAAATAC